TAATGAAATTTTTAAAATGTGACTGGATTTGTAGAAAATATTAGCATTTATATCTCTAAATAAGTTTATTAGAAAAAATAAATTTAACGATCCATATAATAATATTTATTATGTATCATAAATATTAATATATTTTATATATATTTGGTCAAAGTTGAACATGTTTAACTTCTTAGTAAGCAAGAACATTGTATATAGAAAGGGTTAATACCAGTATAATATGAGTGATAAGGACTGGAACGGTGCGTGCATGTACGCAGGTCTCATCACCTTGTTGTCTAAGCTTCTTCTAAGTTTTTTTTTTGTATGGTCAAGACTGACTGCTTGACTTTTGGACCCAGAAAGTTCCTGTGCCACCTGGGGAGTCCCCGTCCATCTATCAAATTTTGGAGTTCAACCTGAACCCGCATCTGGAGAGAATGTTCCGTAGTGGGATCATTCCATCTCTCATTGACTTTGAACAAAACACCATGGTAAGATGGGATATCCCACCTGGGACGACCCTGTCCTCAAAACCAAACACTACCTTAGTGTGATACTTTACAATAGTACCCATCACCCTTAAACCAGAATATATAGGCCTTTAGAGAAACAAATAGACCGAATATAATGTTGCAGGAGATAGTTGTTATGTGCACTAGATTGTGGGGAGTTTGATTCTCATTCTCATTTTTTAGCCGATTATTGTAACTTATAGTAGAGCAAACACACCCTGAAATGCATGGGCAAGTACTCATAGTCATAGTATAGTATAGTGTGGATTATTAGTTAGGCGCAAGCCCATACTATATTCCCACATGTGGAGTACTTATCACTAAGCATATTTTCTCCATCTCGAAATAAGTGGACATCTCATTGTCTTGAAGGAAGTTATCATCCTGGAAGGCCAATCACGCCGCCTCACGCCAGCCGCGCTGCTCCCAGCTGCCGTGGACAAGGAAGAGAGAGGGGGAGGAAGAAGATAAGTCCCATTGACATGCGGGCCCAGCCTATTAGGAGAATAAAGGTTAAGCACGGTTCCCTATACTCCAAAAGTCTGTTTTGTCAATCCCCTTTAGCTATATAGGGGATTGGATATCCTTAATCTAGTGGAGATGATCTTAGTCCTCTATTTTTAGGAGCATTTTTTTCGCAACTGTGCCATTGCACGTATTTCATCAAGAGGAGGTAGAAAAAACAGGTACAAAGTAGGCAGCCCTCTGGTAATGATGATTACTGAGAAGTCAGTGCGGGAAAGGATTCACAAACACAACCGGAGACCGGCTCTTTGCCGAGTGCCAAGTGGATTGCCGAGTGTTTTTTTTTCGGGCACTCGGCAAAGAGCTTCTTTGCCGAGTGCGGAAAAAAAAACACTCGGCAAAAAAAAACCACTCGGCAAAGGCAAAGAAAATTTCAAAGCACATTTTGAAGTAGTAAATTAATTCAAATGAAAAAGTTTTCAACTACAAAGTTGTATAACTCATCAAAATGTACAATGTTTGTTTTGGTCTTTTCTTCATATGACAAAGTGAAAGTAAATTTGTTCACAAATCTAACATATCTCTCTTTTAGTTTATGAAACTACAAGAGAGATATATAAGATTTGTGAACAATGTTAGAACGACCATGTCGGATGAACAGATGACCAAACAACCAAAATAAACTTTGTAGATCTCGAAAAGTTATGAAACTTTGTAATTGGCAATTTTTTTATTTGAAATCATCTTGTCATGCAAAACTGTGTTTGAATTTCAAAAATTTGAAATTCGAACTTTTCAAACGACCTCGGATGGAAAAACAACCAAAATAAACTTTGTAGATATCGAAAAGTTATGAAACATTGTAGTTGGCAACTTTTTTATTTGAAATCATCTTGTCATGCAAAACTGCGTTTGAATTTCAAAATTTTGAAATTCAAATTTTGTAAACCACCTCGGATGGAAAAACTTCCTAAACTAAAAGTGTAGATCTCGAAAAGTTATGAAACTTTATAGTTTACAACTTTTTTATTTGAATTCGTTTAGAGCCTCAAACAAGCAATTTACACTCGGTTTAGTATAATACGTGGGGAACCAAAACGGAATTTAGACATAGGTGGCAGTGTGGTGCAGTGGTTAGAGGAGGGGACGCGCGAGGGAGAGGTCGCCGGTTCGAATCCCGCCGGCCATGTAGCCGCGAATTTTACGCGAAAAATGCCGGAGATGGGCGGGCGCTGGCCGGTAGGGGCCTCCACTGATTAAAAAAATTCCCATTTTTTTCCTATTTTTTGGGGTTTTTTTTTATTCCAACTTTGCCTTGCCGAGTGCCCAACAAAAAACACTCGTCAAAGACGCCTTTACCGGCCCATTTTTTTGCCGAGTGCAAATTGAGCTTCACTAAGTCCGGTAGTGAAACCTGCTATTACACAAGCCGCAGCACGACAAACAGTAAAGCTACAAAGCAATACTCGTAGGAGAAGAAGCGACTGCAAATGCCTGTAACCTGTGACTGCCCACTCTCTGGCTTCTTCGTTGATGAGTTGTAACAGAACACTAGGAGCCGACGCTGTCCCCTGGAACTCACAGAGAACGCAAGTAACAGTTGCCTGCAGCCCGTGGCGCCTTCCCCTTTCATTAATCAAGCGATTACAAACGACGGAGAGCTTAGTCTCCTGCAAGCAGATGAGGGACAAACATTCGTCTACAACCAACTGACGCACGACGTTACGACGCGCCCGGCCATTGAGCCCGCGCACGTTCCAGCATAACATTTTTTGTGTCGACGTAAGCAACAAGCATGCGACAGTAGAAGCAACCACCATTGGTCTACCGAGCCTCAACCTCGACGTCCTGAACTTCCGAGACAAAGTCATCGAAGGAAGTCATCATCCTGGAAGGCCTGGAAGGCCTCGTGTTTGCTTGCCGACAGCAAAGACACTCGAATTTCTTGAAAGCTTCAGAGTCAACAGAACGAACGGAGGTTGTGAGGCCCATCTTTACCATGAGAACTTTCTGCGCCTGCGCCGTGGCGTTGGCTGCCCTGGCTTTGCGGCCAGCCGACCACTCCTTCTCAGCGACACATCGCCTCACTCGATCTTTGCCACTCTACGCTACGGCCTCCCTGGGATTAACGGAGTCTGCAGTGGAACGCACAGGTGTTGCTGAAGCTCCAGCATGGAGGTCAGCGGAGCCGCAACTCCCACAGCAGCCACGCAACCCAGGTCTCCCAGCACAGCGGAGCCCCCGACCGGAACGCCATCGCCCATCGACCCCAGGAGACCCCGAAGCGGCTCTTGCACGGCGTGCATGGCCCAGGAGTTGGGACCAAACAGCTCCACGCCACAACGACTATAGATGCCCAAACGGTGGCCCAGCCCGGCCCGGACCCGGTGGAGCCATCGTGCCGTGCCGTGCCATCCCATTGGCTGTACCTTCGACCCAAGCACGGCCCAATGAGGGTCGAGCTGTGCCGGGGCGGCCCAAGGGCCCACTGAGCCTGTCGTGCTTCTGTCGGCCCCATAGCGCACAGAAAATCAAAGGAAAAAAATCATTCTTCAAACACACAGGAAAATCAAATCGACGTCGCTGCAGCACCCGTCTCCGCCATCGCTTCCACGCATGGACGGGGAGTCGCATCGCCGCGCCCACTCGCTGGCCGAGAGGGCCACTCCACTGTGGGCATGCGCTGGCTGCGGGGGCGTGCCGCTGTGTGCGTGCTGGCCGTGGGACGCGCTGCTTGTCGCGTGAGCTCCTCGCATCAGCGACGTGGAGTCGGGGTAGGTGAGAAGAGCGGCGAAGGGAAGGGGTGGGTGTAGCACCGAGAATGAGAGTCGAGGGATGCGGCGCGATGCGGTATCGAGGAAACAGGAGGCTGCTGGGAGAAAAAAAGGTTAGGATTCAGAGTATGTTATATATGGGAACCCAGTGGGCCACGTCAGGCCTGCCTTAATCGTGACGGGTTGTGCTGGCACGTCATGCTAAGGGGAAGCCCAGGCACGGCCTGTGCATCAGGCAGTGCCGTGCTTGGGCTGGGCCAAAACGTCGTGCCGTGGGCCATGCTCATAGGCCTCGGGCCATATGGCCATCTATACCAACGACCCTCATCAGGAACTTGGTTGTTGGGCAGGAAAAGAAATGTCGGCCCAGCATCGACCCCAAAAACACCTCGGTTGCGCAGCCCATTCATCCAGCAAGAAGGCACTACTAAAAAAGTACACTTCGAAGACGATTCATTTTTGTCATAATAAAGGCTACTAACGTCATGGAAACATATCTGTGACGAAGTTATGACGAAATTTTGTTCGTCACCTTTGTAACGTCATAGCTGTTGCACAGTGATAATTTGGTGTATTTCGTCACAGATATAGTTACAAACATGACGATTTTGCCCCCGTCACTGAACTGATTCAGCCGACGTTCCAGCGGACACGTGTTTGATGGAGGTTGACACGTGTACGATGGGGAGGTTGACACGTGTTTGATTTCATGGTTGACACGTGGCGTTCTTGTGTGCACTTACGTGGCAGCACGCGAGCGATGACATGGCAAGTGTTATGCAATGACGTTTGTTTTTCATCATAGTAATGTCACGAATTTCAAAATGCACCGGCAATAGCATTTGGGCCCACAGACTGAGCTCCACAAACTTCCATACATCATCAGATTAAATTACATTTATCACAAACAGTTTTATAGAAGTGACCGAGTCACTGTTTTACAAATTACTATTTGGCTCAAGCAGACCGTTTTTCAGATGGTCTACTGGATAGCCTGATTATTGGAAGCATTTTTTTCTCTCTCTTATTCTGCGAAACAAAAGAAGTAGATTTCTTAAAGGGAGAATATAAAATAAAAAAGAAAAGTTTTTTTCTGTACAAGGCTTACACATGGGCCAAAAGCCCAAACCTAAGGCAGCACGCCTGGTCTGCTTGAGCCTATGAATGTCCATGTTTCGGCCCCGAATGGGCCCAGCTCCTTCTCCTTTTACCTTAGCGCTTAAGCCTTCTGCAGTAGTGAGGGCGGGGATTGGATAACGTGCAGAAAATGGCCATCGACTCCGGCGGCGGCGGCGGCGATTGCAGCGGCGACGGAGCAAAGCGGCAGAGGGTGGATAAGCAAGGGGATCGATGCGAAGTGGTGGGCTCGGATGTGGTCCTGATGGACCGCATCTCTGCGCTGCCGGACGAGCTGCGGCAACGCATCCTGACGCACCTCCCCCTCAAGGACGCCATCTACACGGGGGCGCTCGCACGCGGGTGGCACAACCTGTGGAAGGGCCGGTGGGCGAACCGCGCCTCCCTCGAGGTGCACCCCTGCTCCCGCGACGCCCAGCAGAGGGAGCTGGACGCGTTGGAGCACGAACCGCGCCTGCGCCGCCGCCTCGACCGCTTCTCCCTCATCGTCCACATCTGGAAACTCCGACATTCTTTTATCACAAGCAGTCGCGGTCGGTGAAGGGGAAGCAGAGGCACGGCTACGGCACCCGACTTGACAAGGACGGCGACTGTGAGGACGGCGACAACTCCTGGCTCCTCAGGTACAGCTGCAGCTCGTGTGGATAACCTCCTTGCGCCGGCGCCGAGCTCGTGGAAGATGGCGAGGACGCGGACCACCACGGCTCTGGCTTCGCCTGCAGGGGCGGTCGGCGAAGATGACGAAAGCGTAGACCAACGCGGCACCGGCTCCTCTGGCAGTGATAGCGAGGTGGTTGTCTGACAGGTCTTTGCCCGGAGTGGTGGGGGAGGCGTGAATAGAGGCGCTCGGCTGGGCGTGGGACTGGGGCTGCACTGCACAGAGAGAAATGAGAGAGGCAGAGGAAGAGTCCACGTGAAAGAAACGCAAGAGAGAGAATAAGGGCCTGTTTGGTTACTACACCTTCTTCTAAAATTCCTGTCACATTAAATGTTTAGACACATGCATAGAGTATTAAATAGAGACTAATTACGAAACTAATTACACAACTTGTGACTAATTTACGAGACGAATCTTTTAAGCCTAATTAGTCCATGATTTGACAACGTGGTGCTACAGTAAACATGTGCTAATGGCGGACTAATTAGGCTTAAAAAATTCGTCTCGGAAATTAGCCTCCATCTATGTAATTGTTTTTTAATTAATATATATTTAATGCTCCTTATTAACATCTAAACATTCGATGTGATATAAATTTTAGGAGCGACTATAGAACCAAACACCCCCTAAATATCTGGATACCAGGGGCGCGGCCGCGGTTTCCACGAAACCGCAGGTGGCAGAGCGTCGCTAGACACGAGCTAGGCACGGATTTTGAATCTTAGCCCGTGTTCAGTTGCAAAAAAAAATTCCAAAAAAGTGCTACAGTATCCATCACATCGAATCTTACGATACATGCATGGAGCATTAAATGTAGATGAAAAAAAAACTAATTACATAGTTTGATAAGAAATTACGAGACGAACGTTTTGAGCCTAATTAGTCCATGATTAAACACTAATTATCAAATAAAAATGAAAGTGCTACCGTAACCAAATTCCAACTTTCCACTCAACTAAACAAGGTGCGGCTTTCGCGTCCATGCGCGCGCAGTCAAGTAGTAGTGGATGCGGGGACCAGTTGGTGGTTGACCACCCAACACCGGAATGCCACATGGCCTTGAGGTTTACTAGTCAGTGTTTGAGGGTGAAGAAGGAGAGTGTGGTCGTGGACTTTCAAGCCGGAGCATCGGATTTGGCTTTCTGGAAACCGCACACTAGGGGCTGGGCTAGGTGACGTGGCGCAGCCAATGGCTGCATGCCACGCGGTTCGGTGGGGGGCAACAAAGGGTTGTTGAGCATGTCGGCTGTGGTGTTCGGCGTCCATTTTTTTCCAAGGAAATTCAGCATCCATTTTGGCCAGCAGCAGCACACACAAGCATGCACGTTACACACGTATGTACTATATACACATATGTGTATATTTGTGTATATTTTAATTGATACATATTTGGTCAATATTAACTCAAATTTTGGATATGTATATTTGTTTATTTAAATTTTGGATATGTATAAACGGCTGAGGCAGGGGAGGTGGTAACCGGGCCTGCGCGATGTATTGGACCGATCTCGCAATTTGAATTTCAATACATGAGAAATTTAAAAAGAATTTTGGGATAGTAGATGATTTCAAACAAATGTTTTACCCTAATTATTTTACGGTAATTTAGGAATAGAAGGATGAATTATCCCTAGCAAACAAATGTTTTACCCTAACAACTCTAGGATATGGTAGAGAGTGAAATGTATGAGTATAAATATGTTTTGTATAATTTTTTTGAGTCTTATTGGAAATACACATAGTTCAATTAAGAATTACTTTCAGTAAGCATGCATAAATTCATTTAAATGATAGAAAATATCGAATAAGTTCTAAAATTTTTGAAACTCCTTTACAGCAACGTATATGTAGGCTATTGCTTGTTAAAAAAGTCTCGAAGTATGAAAGGCATTTTTCCTAAAGTAGCTTCACAACGATCATTCTCTATTTGTTTGAGAAATAAAAAGACCAATAAGCAGCAATAAAAAAGCAGTAAGAACGCCATGAATTGATACAACATAATTTTAGAAAACTTTTACAAAAAAGAATCACCACATTTGAAGCCAATATGAGAGAGAAAAACTAATTACAAGTTTTAGTCAGAGATTGAAAAGAGAAACCACATTTATTCAATAATTTAAAATTTTAAATTTCTATACATGATCAGTTACAAGTTTTAATTCTAGATATACGTTCTTGAAATTGTAGAAAATGATTTTTTACGAACACTAGCAAAAAAAATCATCCGATTTAGAGTTCATATGAGTTATATAAATTAATTTCAATTTTTATTCACGCATTAAAAAGTGAAAACTACTATTCTTATGATTCTTACGATGAGCTTCACGATCAAATTATCTAGAGGTGCATTACCTAATAGCTTTTATACATATAGAGTAAAGTGCAAGTGATTTTACAAAAGATGGCGTAGCTCAGTGGTAGAGCTACAGTTAACCACCCTTTTGGTCACGCGTTCGAACCCCGTTGAAGCAACTTTTATGCCCTTTTTTATATAGTTTTTTCCAAACTGGAGCATGTAAAGTATTATATTATGAAACAAAAACTTCCAACCATAAGCATGTAAAGTCTTTCATCCCAATGGTAAGCCAACTTGGTTCTAAACAAACAGGTTACGGGTTCGAAGTCCCAATGCTGCATTTTTATTGAAGCATTATCCAATAAGCAATGGCTATGACAGACATGTGGGGTCTGAATCGTGAAACTGCAGTTTCACTTCTATGACGAAGCTCAGTTAATTTATATGACTAATGTTTTTTACTTTGTCACAGTTGTAGAAAGGGGCTTGTCGGAGACCAAAATTAGCATATCCGAAGGGAAGGGGCTAATTGTCGTTAACATTAATTTATTTGAGCAGTTAAGAGCGTGATTTGGGGAGGGCTTCGCCTCGCTCGACCTCTGGGGTGGGCTCCGCCTCGCCCAACCCCAAGGTCGCGGGCTCCGCCTTGCCGTGACCCCAAGGTGGCGGGTTCCACCTCGTCCGACACCGAGGTCGCGGGCTCCGCCTCGCTCGACCTTTGGGGGCGAAATCCGCCTCACCCGACCTCTGGGAGAGGGCTTCGCCTCGCCCGACCCTATGTCCGCGGGCTCCACCTCGCCCGACCCCAAGGCCACAGGCTTCGCCTCCCCCGACCCCTCGGGTGCGGGCTTCGCCTCGCCTGAGCTCTGGCGGTAGGCTCCGCCTCGCCCGACCCCTCGGGTGCGGGTTCCGTCTCGCCCGACCCCTCGGGTGCGGGCTCCGTCTTGCCCGATGGGGTTCCATACTGCCGCTCACCACTCCAGGTCCAAGCGTATGGGCCTGGGTCAAAACTTTGACGCCAAGGAAGAGACCGGCACGCCCTGATGTTACCCGTGGCCATGACAGGACATACCTAGGGATTCACATCAGGAACAGCATCGGGCGTACCGGCGCTGTTTCGCCTAACCCCCGTACGAACGCTGACAGACGCGTCAGTTCACCACAACGTCCGCTGCGACGGAATGGAACGCCATGACTGGCAGGCGACGCCTGCGCATGGCACCTGTGACGGACAGGACCGTGACGTGGAGCTATCCCTGTTGACATCTACAAGGTCGGCGAGACCCGCATGAAGGAGAAGAAGGACCCGGCGATCTTGAAGGACTTCTTCTTCTCTCTCTCGTTCTTCTCTCTTCCTCCGCTATAACCCACGCTTTCCCTTGACCTATAAAAGGAAAACCAGGGCGTCCCATGAGAGGCATCTGACCAACGAACCGATCGAACCCCGAACTTATCAGAACACGACACAAGCACACGGCTGAGCAGCATCCGAGCTCTCAACACCCGTTCACTCTCTCCACCAGAGACTTAGGATCATTTCCCTCTCTCGCCCGTTTGTAACCCTTACTATAAACTTTTGGTGCTAGTAACAAGAGCAACAACGGTGAACTGGACGTAGGGATATTCTGCCCGAATCATTATAAACCTCATGTCCTCTAAGCACACCATCCGAGTCAGACACGCAATATTAGAAATTTACTCGTCAGTGGTAACTCGAAACACCGATAGTTGGCATGCTAGGTATGGGCCTTTTGCGCGTCTCAACATCCACACCAGGCCTCGGATGGCCAGTCACAATGTCAGCTGGGTCTCGGGCGCGCATGTGCGCTTTGGGAACCTAGACTTCATCATCACGACGGAGGAAGGGTTGGTGCTGGCTCCTGCCACCGTCCAACCTCTCTACTTCAATAGCCTCGACGCGATCACCAAGATGCTTGAGGAGCTGTAGCTGCACGCACTGGGGGCCCGCGCCCCTAGGGGCGACCGGCTCCTAAGCTTCAACTATGGGAGGTTAGAGCACCAGCTCGGCGCCTTCCTGGGACCCCAACCGTCCCAGGAGGACCTACGCCACCTTATCTTCTCTTTCACCAACGTCATGGCGCAGCTTGCCGAAGGAGAGCCCATCTCCCTAGAATACCTCATCTAGAGCGCTCCAACAGCGCTCCCGTCTGGTCTCCGCAACGCTGCAGAGACCGTTGGCCACCTTGTGGCACAACGCATGCCTCCATCCCCCGCGAACGACGAGTTCGTGGGGATGACCGAATATGTCATGGAGTCTTTCCATGACCTCCTCACAGGAGAAACAGAGTCGCCCTCTACCTCTGACTCCAGCAGGGAGAGCCATCACCCCTCTCTTGAATGTTTCATGGCAGGTACCCCCGAAGGACACGTCGAAAGCATCCACGAGGAAGAGGCTACCCCAACAAACAACCTCGACGATGAGGTCAAGGGAGATGCAAGGGCCCCACCTCGCCTGTGTGTGGAGCAGCTGAAGGCCCAGCACCAAGAGCGCATGGAAGCATAACTCCAGCTCGAGCAAGAACGCGTGGAGCTCGAGCGAGAGATCAAGCGCTATGGAGACGGTGGG